TTTCGCAATTTGGAGTACAATTTGCTTATGCAATAACACTAGCAAAGAATAAAAGAACAGTTTGTGACCACACAGATCATACAAGATCTCCGTGACTCAAATTAGGTCTGGTGTTTGGAGATTTCCGATAAGAGGCCGACAAAGTAGATGTGCGGTGTGTGGTCTTGTGTGGTGTACTTTGGATATCACTACGGATATAACACCTTATTGTTCACGCATTAACTGCAATAGAAAATACAAATAAGATTCAATACTCGCGCGAGTATCGTGTGTTGTGCTCATCTTCAGGAAACCAGAGCTACTTTTTTCCGCTCGCATTTCTCGCTCCCCCCAAAAAAACCGTTTGATTTATCTGAAGTATTTTTCTTTCTTGGTGCGTCGAACGAACGACGCAGATAATCTCTCCTGAATACAAGAGAAACGCAAAAGGGTAAAGCTATTTAAAATTTCTATAAATTAGCGGACTAAAAGCCATATTATAGCATAGGGCAGAAGATAGAGTTCCTTAAAATCAACACAAGTTCTGTTTTGTTGTAGCGCAAGTGCCCGTTCTTACAATCAGCACAAGAAAAGTGCAATACGTGTGATGTTCAAATTCATGGTTAATTTTTTCCGCGCAAATTAAAATGCATTTAGTAAGGCGCGAAGTGGACAAGATAAGCAATATATTTATACAATCAACAGTCGAACTCAATGTTTGGTGTACAAACTACTTAGCTGTAGTTTGTCAATATTTTAACATTGAAAATAACTCAATGTCGCATCGCCAAAAACAAGCTGCCGTGAAATTCTTTTAGCAAGAAAACGAGATGAACATGATCAGTGCCTCAAGAATCTTAGAGAATATGACTTATTTATATAAGATTCTAGCATTGATAGTCAAATTTGCTGAGTACATTATCAAGTATCATGTAAACTGCCAAAGAAGAGGATTTAAACTATCGTCACAACATAAGTGCATAAAAATTATAGGTGTACCATATCACGATGTACAAGGAAAACTATACTTGTATAATTCATCCAGTAATTTTTGAATGTGCTTTAAAAGTGGACAACATACGGCGGGAATACTCGGGAAAATTCTCCGAAATGACGAAACAGGAAGGAGTGGAGTCCTATTTTGAGGCAAAAATTTAATAAAAAAATTCCTGAGTCAAAGTATGCTGCAGTTGTTGATTAGATAGTGAGGCAAACTGCCGACACACGACATCGGCGAGGGCATTCCAATAAAACTAAATGTGCCTTTCGTCAATTTGATAAGATTGATGGCATCTTAGAATTGGTAAAGATAAATGTCGCTAGATTTGCCATACACAAGAGATTGAAAGGATTTTGCAAGCTGAAGAAATGACCACGCAGKATTTCAAGCTCTTGTTTAATCCTCTTGAATTATTGCTGAGATAACTGAKCACTCAGAAAAACAGATGAGATGTTTTTACTCGMGGGAAAAATGGYGTTATGGAAYACAGGCGTAAACAACTTCACTACATGAATATCTTTAATCCTTCAAATACCTTTTTAAAGGTATTTTTAAACTGATCAGTAATTTATAGTATCAATACAATGCTATAAAATAGCAAAAGTATATATAATTTTGCTAAAGTAAAAAAGATTACACCGAAATTGAAATTAATAAATCATGGCAAGTTCACAAATAGTGAATGGGGGCTGTTAAAACACTCTCAAAAATATGAACAAATAATGTACATTATGTGTTAAAAACGATATATATGAACTGAACTATAATATTATAAATCTCTTAACAGCACCCACCAGAATGTTTATATCTTGTAATATACATCCGTATAGTTTCAAATCTCTTCCAASTCCAGCCTGTTTCAGATTCCTTAAACTCGACTGTCGGTGGGAAAGCCATCCTTACGGATGTAAAGAAGACTGCGCAAACGTCCACTAACGTCCCGCGATATAACTGATTTCATTCCGATTCTTTCTTAGGGCCAGAAACTAACCTCTTAGTATTTACATAACCCGAAATTGATATAAAAATCTACCCTTCGCCCCCGCAAAACATRCAGTTATAATGCAGCTCTAAGCAGACACTACWAYWGAATGGTCCCTCGYTTCTCGTGCRGGCCAAGGCGTGATGTGCTGAGCYGGACAAGTTCTACTTGGATCACACTGCMGTTTTCTTTCTTACATTTCGTTTCATATTTCAAAAAAATGCACCTYTTAATTTAGTACTATTTTCTTAGGTGTGTTATGCTTTCCCACGGTAGAGGAAGTAAAAAATCTACTTCAACTTATGTTGTTAGAGCAACTTTTATCACTAAATKAAATTGCCTTAAATACACCCAGCTGTCAGCTTGTTGTTTTCTTTTGTTATCATTTGAGTTGAGGAATAAACTAAGAMAAAATGTGATCACTTGTTTGTAAGATTGGAAAGTGGAACTATCCTATCAAGAAAGTAGCAAAATGAGTCAGAGGCTAAGGACGGTAGGTACTGASAGKATGARATGGGCTTGTCTAATTTTCAGCCTCTAGAGGATTGCCATATCCAGATGTAACATGGGATTTCGGATAATAGCAAAGTCATATAGCTAGTGAATTGAAACACCTTTTATAATATGAGAGAACAAAGCCTGGTWGCTRCAAACCTCTAATGCCAAAAACATCTGAACTTGGATCGGCGGCATATGAAAAGGCTATACAGGCAAGGCGCTAGACATTATCTAATTATAGAAATGTTTATTTTTCTTGTTGAGGGGGAAACTAATGCAACACCGACTCACGATACGAGACGCAGTAAAAAACATCCCTCCAGATTCGAAAATCACGGAGTATTTTTGTGGCGTACAAGTGAAAAACCGCCCTCGCTTGCACTTATATGGAGAGCGCGTCGAAGTGCTGTAATAGGATCCCYAACACAGACAGTGATTTGGATTAATTAGAATTTCAAAACGTGCGACGTAATATCGCTTACGTTGCGGAGATAAACGTACAGGATCTGCGTTACCAAAAAAAGAAAAGATCGGATCGCAGTAAACATTGTAGATYTTCCTTCRCCATGTACGGTCGAGGATATAACTACGGGAGACGACCATATGGAATGACACCTCATGAACAGCACACTCCACCACCGTTGTCTCACCATCCATATGCCTATACTCCATCTCGTTATGCATTTAATAGCTATTCTCCAGGTAGCAACCCTTATCCCCCTAGCACACCCTCTTCACAGTACAGCTATGGAGCCCAGTACTACAATGATGTTAGAAACTTGGAAATTGAACCAAGGGAAGAAATGCCAGCTCCGCTACATCATCTACCACACTCTGTGCCTCAGATGATKTCTGAACATCCTCTACCACTCGACCACAACTGTGTACCCCACGTCTCAACAAACTGCGAACAAGGTAATTCACGGGTTGGTAATCACTTCGTATTATTAATATTGCCACCTATTTAAGTMGGTCTCGTAGTTGGCTCATCTAYTGATTACCCACTTACTTCACGGGCCTTGCGGTATTTACATTTGCAGGAGCTCAGAAAGTGCTAATGAAAGATAATTCGGTTTATAATTTACTGGTTGGTCATCTAAGAAAAGCAATAACAACTCGCTTGTACGATGATCAATAAGAAATCAGTGACTTAATTATTATTCAAGTGTCTGCTTGGCTAAGCTTAATGTACRTGTCCCAGTAGACGATGTCAGTGACAATGGATGCACGTAGCTTTCTTTGCTATATCGTATTGTCAAGCTCTATTTTAGGTGATAATAATTGCACTAAAGAAATTCTAACGAAATCGTATTACTGTTTATTATATTGTGAATAGTTATGAGTTTAATTCGACGAAGAATTATTTAGATTAAGTAGCTACATGTGTAAAATACGCCATTGCAAACAGCCCGATAGCTCTTTAAGAAAGTCTCCATTTTTTGCCAGTTCGCTTGGTAAAATGGACTTTAGAAGACTTCTACATGCCGAGGGATAATTTCTTGGTTTCCGTTTCGGCTGTTTTATGTCCGTCGTTAAAAAACCTCGATAATTGGGTCTTTTTGTCTACTATTAAACCGTGAATTGATGAAGTGCTTTGAGATCCAAATCAATCAATTCCTTGATCTAGTTTCACGTACTTAAAGCACTTGAGATTTGTACACATCAATTATAACACTTGAAAACTTTACCACAGTCTTTATRATACTGGTTTTATAAGCGAGGATTTCCTTATTTATTCAAGGACTTCACACTACCTGGTAATACTGACTTCAGTAAGTAGTATTAGATTTATTTTATATCTAATGTAAGATCTTCAACATTTCACTATGGTCAACCACAGGAATTATATGAAGGATCTCTCAATGCATTCTTACTTCCCAGACCGTTTGGAGCTCTGTATATCGTTTTGGAACTTGTAGTTTGAGAGTCAGAATTGAGCTACCTTTTATATAATAATACATAAGATTAGAAACTTTGTAGAAAAAGAAGATTTTCTTTTGACTGTTCGGATTTACTGCTTGGTTCCTCAAAGTGTGAGTAATTTCTTCTCGTATGGTTGTACAAAACTATTTTCTTATAAAAATAAACTGACCAGTAGCTTCATTGCAAGCTGAAGGCAAAGAAAAGAAAGGAAGCAGTCTATTGGTGTGTTTTGATGTCAATTCTGTTTGAGATTGTTCACTTCATAAAAAAACTCTGAATGCATCAATGATCAGTGTTCATTGATAAAAAGCAATTCTATTGAATGAGTGACAATTTATGTACATCCTAAAAGAGTTATTTAATACTAAATAGTTTATGCATTAGAGTATTACATGGAGTCCAGCTTTCGTTACTTTCTTGAAAAGTTGTCCAATCTAAATGCAGAGTGTGAAATAAATATTAAAATCAAAATCAAGCTTTCTTCTTTGCGATAGTTTCAGACCGCAAAAACTGTTTTTTGCATTCTCAAAGTGTATCAGCAATCTTTGGAATGCATCCAGTCTTGGTCTTGTCCTGGTCTTAAAGATGAGGTACATGGATCTCGCAATTTTTCACCCAGAAAATATTTTTACAAAGTTGTGTCTGTGGTTTAAATCAGATCTGTAGGCGAAATGCTTTGGTGCGGTAAAAATGTCAGAACCAGAAAGCTTAGGAAGGCCCACTCTACATCTAACGGATAGCGTTTAAAGAACTGATAGTTAAAAGCATCATTTTTTTATCAGAAATAGAAGTTTATACTGGAATGTTTATCTTTTGGCTTTCGGGAAGTAGTGAAAAGTTGCTGTAAGCTCAGTCAATCATGGCTGCAATTTTTTCAAGTGGATTTGCAGTGTGCTTAGTAAGCTCAGCATCCTGTGTGGGTCGACAGTTCAATGGAATCTGGCTCGCTGAAAAGACATGGGAGTTTATTTAATAAATTAATCTTAGCAAAATTTTAACAATTTTTTATCAGTTAAACATATTTTTAACAACATTCTCCTCAAGAAGATCAGTCTTGCCATGTCTAACAATCAGGCCCCAGTGGAGATCATAGCTCACTTTTATGCTGCCGAAACATCCCGTGAGCTTATAAAAAGTAACTTTTCAATCATTTATTCAATCAAAGCCAGCAATATTGATTTATCAGTTGGATTGAATTGCAATACAAAAAGCTGAAAAGTCTCATGCCTTTGGCTCRCTTCTATTGTCGGTACTACCTTAAGAGGGTATTTCAGTACAGRTCTGCAGTCGTCTTTTGTTAAGTAGTGAATCTTTATATCAAAAAACAGCTATTTATTCAAAGGAACAGTCATAAAAATAACATTGTTTACCATCACGTATTGACTTTCATTGCCAAAGAAAAATAAGCGCCCATAAGCAAGGCTACTGAGAGTAAAAAAGTATGCCATATGGAATGCATTTGACATATTCAAGAAGCCAGAAAATAGATAAAAAAGATATCTAAAAGACCTGTAAAGGCAGAGAAGACAACCTGATCTATTTTACTTATGAGTTTGATGAAAATTATTCTTGACTTTACCAAAAACCACTTCCCTGGTGGCGGGATACTGTCAATCTCTCATTGATGACTCTTGCGTAAATATTCTCTATATAGTCATGTTATAGGAAAGGACTTTCAACTTTGATAAACAAATATATATTAAGAAAGTGAATGATGTATTTATGATTGTAATCTCATGCTTGTTTATTTTAAATCTTTTTCTAGTTGCTGTTGATCCTAAAACCGGAAAAAACGGCAAGAAAAGGAAAGAACGTACTGCATTYACCAAACATCAAATCCAAGAACTAGAAAACGAGTTCCAAAGGAATAACTATCTTACGCGTCTACGTCGTTACGAGATCGCCGTTAGTTTGGACTTAACTGAAAGACAAGTCAAAGTKTGGTTTCAGAATCGTAGAATGAAGTGGAAGCGAGTCAAAGGGAAACGACCCGAGAAGAAAGCGCTTGTTGGTTGCTTGGAAAGAACTGAATTTAACGTCGAGGAAAACTAATATTATCCGTAAACTGAACTCAAAGGATAATAAAAAAGCGATGGAGTTTTATACATCACATCACTATGATGTTGTATATACTWAACAGTGAACAGAAAACGCGCTATTTACAGCGGTACCTCCATTGCTTGCAAGTCAGTGTTGTACAAAAAGCCTCAAGAATAATATGGCTTACAGATGTGGATAGTCGGTGTAAAAAGATGTGTAGATTTGACTATAATCAGTGCAGTATACAACATTTGTATCCACTCTGAATTGATAGAATCTAGAAACAGGACATTAAACGTTCAGCGTTTTGGAAAGAATCCCGCAACACAACTTCAAATGGCCGCGACTGTTTGACGGTGGCCGTTGTCTTTCAGTGTTTTTGATGTTTTTTTGTAAATATTCAGAAACTTAAAGTTATGTCTGAACATCCTTCATTGAATTTCTAAAGGCTGATTTACACGGTACGATGTGTCGCGCGCGACTTGTAGTATACGATTTTCCTACTACAAGTCGTAGGATTTTAAAAGCAGTGGTTCAAAATCCTAATGCAAGTCGTAGGTTGCGTACGACTGTTGWAGACAAGTCGTAGGGGCATTTACACTGCGCGATTCAAGTCGTATACTACAAATCGCACGAGACAATCGTGCGTGTAAATCAGCCTTAAGCCTTTAAGCACGAGCCGAGCAGTATATAGACTTTAAAATGTCACTTAGGTAACAAAGTACATCTTGTTCAGTTTGTGCTGTATATTTGAAGGCATTTCGTCTAAGTCTTGTTAAAGTGAGAATCTGTTGTTGCATGCGYGGACATTGAAAGTTTAAAGCAGCTATTGATACAAAGTTTCATTTTATCATGTAATATGCAATAATAATTTTGATTTTGTCATGGTAAAGTTACGTTGAAGAACTGCAATCATGCAAATGACACTAAGCTCGTATAACGACTTTTTTAATGGCTTCATATCTTAACCGCAACAGGTTATAAATCAATGTCAATTCCTGAAATAAAAACATTAAATCCAAAAATCTATGGAGTTAAGCCAGAATGAAATATAAGAATAAATGTGAAACATGCTCCCGCGGCTGCAGTGTTGCTGTCGAGAGCGCTACCGTCTGCTGCTGGGAGGGGCAGAGCTCTCCTCGAAGTTTATGAACATTCTCATCTTGCTTAAATTAAAGAAAACAAAAACAGTAAGAACAGTTCTTTAACAATAAAAAATAGTGTTATTTTTCAATATCTTAGCTGAGCTTGTAATTGGCAAAAGTCACTTCTTCGTGAGAGCAAACATGGCCGACGACGACCCTGGGTGGTGAGGTCACTGCGCGGCTTTATTGATTTCTACCATATCCCGAGATGAGAGTTACAGTCACACAAACACGCTGTCTTTCTATCTTTTAATCCTTGAATTGATGACTTTACTGGGGTTTTAAGGTTGGGTACAGCCATGAATAAACCTACATGCAATCTTACTTGAAATATCATGGTTAACGGAAAGCTTACAGAAAGGATAGGAAAATAAAAAAATGCGAGAGTCTGCAAGAATAAAGTTATCAAACAGAAAAGGGTTTCTCAATGCCCGAATTTTGTAAAGTTTTTATCTGCAAGAAAAAGGATGTAAAAATTGTGCCGTCAGATAATGGCTCGTATACAAAACAACAACAACAAAAGCTTTATACATCGAAACTCATTATGTAATAAGATCTATTTAGCTAAGATCTATATATTCTAAAAATCAATTTTAAACAACTATAAAAGGTATATATATATGTTTACAAGGACTATAAACTACTCGAAAAAAAAGGTATGAACTGCTGAGCACAATATCAACGCAAAATATGTGATGCAATTTTCTTCGCTTGATAAAGTTTGTGCCAGGCAAAGAAGCAAAACCGTGCGCAAGTTGTCAAACTATAACAAATTACGTCTAAAACTTTACCCTAAGTCAATTCAAAAACGCACGAAACCACCCGGCAAACAACAMAGTCAACTCAATGGGTGTTGCGGCAACGGGAGCAAAGAAATGGAAGTCACGAAATGTGTAAGTGTGACTCAGTWTATATCCTGTACGCAATGACGACTGGCGTCCACATAACACAAAGCTATCATATAGCTAAAGCCGGCARAAGCTAAGAGCGCACGGCGGGAATCATTTTAAAATTAGTTCAAAGAAATAGCCGCGAATTTAGTATTCGATCTGTAGCTCTAGTAATCGTCTGATACTGTAAAGTGTCACTCAGTATGACTCTCAAGAATACAAACCAGCAATCAGGGTTGTTAATCACAGGGCCAAGTAGGTCACTCTACGGGTGGTTGGGAGAACATCGCGAGCCGACTATAGTTTTGCCCCGGGCTAAATCGATAAATACCCCTTTTATGTCATCTCTTGTGGTTAGTCATTCGTTCGGTATACGTAAGGCTATGTTAGGTATTTCGAGAGATACAAATTGTTAATTGCTGAGAAAAAAGACATTGTATTGAATTCACTGGACATTTTATTTCAAGAAACGCTAGTAAAAACACATAGAAGAATGTTCAMTGTAAAAAATCAGGCTTGATTCTAGTTAAATAGTATCTGAAAGCTCCGAAAWWCCCGCTTTATTTTATTTGTTGCAATGCTGCCAGTTATTKTCGATCACAATGATTATCATTAATATTATCATCACGATGCATTTATTATCATTAATATCATAGCATCACTTTCATCATCATCATATTGCTATATTGATGCAATTGAAGAGTTAAAACAAATTCCCGRCTCCTAACGCCACGATTGCATCCGGTTTGTAATTTGTACATCRGTAAACAATCACAGCTATCACTACTAAAACAATGTAAAAGCCATTAGCACAGCTCAGGTAAATATTTCTATTCAATTTGAAGCGATAGACACATCAATTGAGCACGCACCACAATAACTCAGCGGTCTCTACATGAGAATAAATCGTCTTGTGGTATGAAGTTGATGTTTGATAAGCCACAATGAAAACCMCAAACGGTTGTTTTGATCATGTAGAAAACTCCAACAGGGCCCAAAAACATGACGATATTCTGTGACGAAAATAACTTATGACGATAAATTGACAATCGACGATAAAATAAGTAGCTTTGTTTACTGTTATTGATTGATTGAACAGTGTTTTACTGTGATGGTCTTACTTAATCAGACATGAAATTCGTCATTGAGATCTTTTACGGGTCATATCAGCACATTATTATGATGACAACTTAGTTCATTATCGGCACGGGAAAAATGTAACATTTCCCAGAGTGCACTACTTCATGACGAAGCGCTCGTCCGTCGGAAAGATAAAACGATTGTAGGAAAGAATTAAAAACAACATCAAGTAACGCAAATCACAACAAGCACGACAAAAAAACAGGAAGCACAATGAAAATAACAAGTTTTTTTCGTCCCAAATACAGAAACAATTTCACTATCTTTATTCCAATTTAAAAATAATTTAACAAAAGTGTAAGGTCATCAAAGGTTTCTGGACTTTACCGGTCTCGTGACCAATGGTTTGCCATATTAGGAAATACCATACCAGTCCCCTCGAGCCGGCAGACACGTACGCCACGTACTCTGTGGCTGAAAGTTTAATCTGGTAATAGAATCGATGTGGCTTGCACAGATTTGAGGATTGAGCGTTTTTACGTAAATTTTCCGTAAGAAACGACGCCCGGAAATGTTGGTGAAGCTGTGTGTGATAATATAATTAGTTTGATATATCGCATTCACTTGAGATCTCGAGAACACTGATAAAAGGCTGTATCCGGTCTTCAAGTTGAAACTCTCAACTTTTGAGAGCCATTTCAAGTTTATTTAAACTTTTAAACTGTTAGGTGTCAAATGTGTCCCTTTTTTGCGCATGTTTTTGTAGCGTCTGTATGGAATTAACTGGGCGGCATTGTACATGTAGCTTTTAAAGTTATCAATAAGCATCTCATGCAATATTCGCAGGATAAAAAATAGTTCCATGCAAAGTCTTGGATTGTTCTTTTTTGCGAGTATAAAATAGTTGGTAGTTTGGTATGCCAGAGTTTTTTGTTGCGTCCCGGGTCAGTCAGTCGGCTTGTTTGAGCTCTGCTGTACGTCAGGTTGTGACCAAATGGCAGATTCTTTAGAACAGGCCGCCGTTACCGATGACTTGTGTCTGCGAGTGCATAATTGTCGCAAATTATACCTTGAAATTGTCGATTGAAAAACAGYACAACGGTTCAGACCCAACAGTGCATCAWCRCAGAATGGATTTGACCGCATGTATTRAAAGCAAAAACAAAACAAAGCACCGCAAGTTGTCACGTAGTTTGTCATGCCATGGAGCTGTCTTCATTTCTAAGATTAGAATAGTCATACACTATGACGTGGAATAATCATAATTTAGATATCGATCGTATTACAAGGATACTTCGTGAATGTTCAAACTATGTTTGGTAAAAAACAAAAAAGTGTTCCTTTCCGATAGAGTCTTGCCGCCCCCGGTCCGGCAGCCGTGCTAATGCGGGATGCGTAGATTCGCTACATCAAAGAAGGCGACAACAGAGTATGCGGTGTCAATTTCACCCAATGACAGATGCTTTCGGGGGAACCGTCTTTTAAAGACATTCGCCGACAAACGAAATCACAGACAGATATACAACTCGTAAGACGTGGACTTCAACCATGTATGATCTCTACTCAGCATCGATGAACTTTTCGTCTCCTTCAGCACAATATCCAAGCTACTATCCGTATAGTAACCCATCMAACGAGCTGCAGTCATGCATGCAGCAATCCGTGCAGCAAGATTACCGAGGGTATGATCAATACACCATGAACAATGTMCAACCATCTAGCCTGCTGACTTCACGAGTACCTCCACTATCACATCCACCGTTAACAATGGTTGAAACTGCRGACTATCGAGGCTTTTATGATCAGTCGTTTCGTTATAAGAATTACCTACAGTCTCAGGCCTCTTATTCCCCGCAGCAACTCAACCACTATATCACCCCAACAGAAAACGAGTACTGCGATGATTCRAGGAGTGAGAAATCGTCCGACGTTGATCAAGGTAAATCAAAGTCAAAGCCAACGAGAAGTTGTCATTGTGAAATTCATTTGAGTCATTGAGAATATTCACCACTTTCACGATTGTRTTAATGTTCTGTTTTAGTAATAAGCGCGAAAATTGCCACTGAAAATTGCCACTGGCAGTCAGCTGTGATCTTAAATTTATTCGAAGTTTAATGCCAAGTTTTAAAACCCGGTTTAAACTAAACCCAACAACTCTACTCAGCAAACATGCTCCCATGCATAGATCTGGCTAAAATGTACTGTTATATATAAAGTGAGTGCACATATTGTCTGAAATAACTAAAGTAAAGTTAACTCATGCCTGGACAAATACTAAATTCTATAGAATCCTGCACGGCAAAATCGTGATTCATGTTCCTGTTCGGGCCTATCAATTGTATTTCTACCTCTGTGGTAAAGAGATTTTAATTAAAGCAGTTGTATCGATAACATTCATGCAATGTTCACAGTTTTRMRGTAKTACGATAGCTTTTTGCCTCGTCAGTTAATTCCTCTACTTAGAGAACACATTCGATTTCGTYYAGCAGGGACATTCCTTACATGACTTAGCGTTAATAAAAAAATCGAAAAGCTTGAGGAGAAGTCCTSTATTTTGATAATTACTTTTCAATGGCTATTACATTACTGGTTAGTGATATTRAAATAACAACCTTTGCTCGCCTTGGGTAGTRGAATCAACTTTTTCACGAATTGTACTGTYCTCAAACMGCGATAAAAATGACGAACAGCAGTTCCGCACTAAATAAGCCAATTGTTTTGATTTGGTCCTTCGTGGTTTGACAGAATGGATGTAACTGTATATATGAAATTATCGCCAAACTTATAGTGTTATTCATCCTGGCGAGCTGTTTTCGTAGAGTCTGACAAACGGTTCCGCTTAGTTCATGGCGGCGTTCATGACCAACGATGCAACGAAAGGAACAAACCAATTTTATACAATGCRTCTGTCATGTAGCTTGTCTCCGGCCTGAAATATAAAAATTGATGTTGACTTTTTGACCAAAGGATCGTTTTTCGTTGTTAAATTACTGCTGAATTACTGTCAACTATTGTGAGAGTGGAATACATTTTAAACTGTTTAGAAAACAAGCTCATTATTGTTGCAAACGTATTTTTTAGCTATATGTCAAGAAAGTAATARCTAGTATATTATATTATAAYATTAAAATACTTTGGAAAGATATCTCTTTGGATTATAGATGTTAGAACCACACCCTTGATGAGTTATTTTATGATATTTTAAGGTTTTCGCATGCAATGTTATTCTATTTAACAGCTTTTATAAAYACGTTTTACCTCTAATTTGCGAACTTATATCCACAACCCAATGTACGCTGTTGTGCCAGAGGTATTTAAGCAGGAATATAAATCCACGGACTATGCGTCTGATACAGCTTTCTGGTATTTTCCTTGGAAGTTTTCCAGCACTTAAATGATTTTCTAATCGATGTAATTTCTCGTTTTCTCCTCAGATCTTGAGGCAGATAAAAGTGATGATAACAAATCGAAGAAGCGCAAAGATCGCACCGTCTTCACCAAGTATCAGTTGATGGAGCTTGAGCGTGAATTCACAAAGAACAACTACTTGACAAGACTGCGACGATACGAAATCGCCATGGCGCTGGATTTAGCCGAAAGGCAAGTAAAAGTATGGTTCCAGAATAGACGAATGAAATGGAAGCGAATAAGAGGATGCTCTTCAACAAAGAAAGTAACACAAGACAACAAGAAAGAGAATTCAAGTTTAACTAGCGATACTATAATTACTTGCTAGAGTTCTACATTATCAAACTAATGACGAACTTATAATTATGCTTATTGAAAAGAGTTTGATTAAGCGTTGATGCTCGTACGTCTTTCAGGTTCAATTTTATAGTGATTGCTATTTTGTGTAATGGAAGTGAACATTCTTTTTCTTAATTTTCTTTGCATGGATTTTAATAGATCTATAATATGTAGTCGAGCTGAACTTTAACTAGTAAGAGAATTAGACATCTCACAATGACCATGCATCCTTGTAAATACAATATTTATTGAAATGGTTCGTTGTTAATAATAATAATACCATTTATTGCGAAAATAAGAATATAAACTTTTCAAATGAAATGTAAAAAAGACTATTGATTGATTTACTACTAAATTACAAACATCAAGAACAATATATTTGCGTCTGTGTTGATTTTAAAAACCAGTATAAAAGTTCTCGTATTCCCAGTATGCACTAACAGTACTTATTTATGTCAAATGCGTTTATTTATTGTTTTCACGAAAGCCCTTAGTTTTTGTGTGAGGTCAGTCTYTTTTTATTCATTCCGACTGTATAAATCCAAATTTGACGAACTTAGAATTTGTACATGAAGACGTTCTCCATAAATGAGAGTAGTAAAGAAGAGAAAAGTCTTTAAAAAGTTCTTAAAGCAACTTGGGATAAATTTTAAGGAAGTTGCAAGGTGTTAGTCAGAAGAMTTTTTTCAATGCAGATCACGTGGAGTGGAGCATGACCCCTCTGTACACTGGTTCCCTATGGTTACGMCCGTGAAACCTGGAACATAGTTTGGCCAGTTTGGTAGAATACAGCCGTACAATACCCAAAAAGCCTTGCGCATAAAGGCTTGATGATCGGTGTACAGGGTAAACTAAACCCTGAGAAAAATATTTCTAAGTTTTTGTGAGGTAGCTGCAAMAATTCTAAATTGGCGTATATTTATTTGTCAAAACCTTGATGGATGCAAAATGATATGTTGAAACCATATTTCAGATATTGCAATAATTTGATATATCAGGTTATCCTGTAAGTMTGGTTTTCATTATGCTATAAGGGATGAGAAGCAATAGCTTTTGAGATTATAGGGCATTYAAAAGGTGGTTTTCCTTGCTCATTCTTTTGTCTTAATTAGCTTATTTTGTATCTTATGCTTGCTGCTATGCTTATGTTAATGTCGTATGTCGCACGCTTGACTTCATTCTTTTCTCTCTTCTCTTGTTTTTCTCTTTTCTTTTGTTCTCGGGTTATACCTATGCTTATGAAAACCAGGCTTTAGCTTTTTCTCCGGTACTTTCCTCGGGTACTTTTTCATTGTGGCTTGACTTGTAGCAGCGCAGTGATAACCATCGGACTCAAGAGACAATAAAACCGTTTCATAATTAGTGTAGTGAAACAGTTGTACAATCGTCTAGTCTTGGGTTTAGATAACAGGAGCTTATCTTCCGCGCTGAAACGCCTCATATGGGCCACCAGCATGGACGGAGCTCTGGATGAATAGTGAGGCGGCAAGGCCTTTGATTTTTACTGGCATTACGGTCTTCTTCCTTCTTATAATCTACTGAAAATTAACTAGCAAAGTAATACCTTATTAAGATAATAATAGTACTTATAATAACTTCTTTAGAATATAGTTTTTAGTCAGGAAGTTACGGTGGAGTTCTATATATAAAGAGCCAAACAAAATCTGATCGTCCTGATCAGCAGGCAACACAATGGATGGCTATAGTTAAAACTATKAAGGAAACATATCATACTTTTATAACACTGTCAGTTGCGACTCAAAACAGCCGAATAATACAGTTATAAATGTAGCGTTCATCAGACAATTGGTTCTTTTTTTAGCCATATCTTTGTTGTTCGTGAATTGTTTCTGTGTTCTTGTGTTATACGRCCGWCTAGCTGACAAGAAAACTAGCGCATCGTGCTTCAAATTTKCACATTTCCGCCGTGAAGTAAAACAGCGGTAAACAGACTAATAGGTTTGTTATCTTGGCATCCGCCAACCCCTCCATCAAACAGTTGCATTTATCCGCTTTCTTTAAAAAGCCGTTTTTAATAAAAATATAGACGATGGCATGCGTAACTGAACCGAAGGCGTTGCGCTTGTGGGACGGTTACCTACATTTTCATCTCTTTATTTTCTACTATCAGTCAAATCATCATCATTTCTCATCCCGTACCAGACCTCACGTCTTTTTCTGTCAAAAAGGCCTACAATAGGTAATGGCATGGCGCGAAGACGGACAAATAAAGCATGTCGACTAAAAAACTTGAAAATCATTGGATTAAGGTTTACAAGGTCAATAAGCCAACCTGTTAATCTGCTCATCCTAAATTAAACATTCATTGAAAGTCGTTAGGAACAAACATAGTGTTTACAAACAAATCCACAAAATATTATCCCAAGGAATGCATTATAAGCGTGACACGCCCTGAAGAGATGAGACGATGTAATCCAAACGACCAAGTAAAAACAACCCGAATCCCTAAAATAAACACGTTAGAAAAAATAAAAATGTAACTTTATTCATTTGTAACTGTTTTTAGGCAAGTGACAATTTCTTCAGGGTTGATTCCTTGTTAACCTTTTATACCCAGACGGCTTGGTGAGTCCCGGATGGCGCCAGATAAGAATTCCTTTAAGGCCGCGTGAATATAAATAACGTGAATCAAGGCTAATCAAGACAATCGTTATGTGTTGAAGGAAAGCTAGTATGTCAAGGACATGAGTTTGTGAATATATTCATACACCTTGAGTGATTAAAGTAAAATACGTTCTCTACCAGGCGCTAGTTTGCAGCCCGCGGTGGCTGTGTGCAGTTGCTTCACCTTGTCTTACCGAATAGTTACAAGCCTTTAGGCGATAAAATTCAACGATCATTTTGTAAGTCAAATTTTGCGCAAGTCGTTGTTTTGAAGGGGCGTTCAGGCCGCACGCTCCATGGCTTGTGGTGTTGTTCCCCTCTACGGATCATGCGGCGATCGCCACAAGAACGATCTTTAGTATCGATGTCATTTCGACGTGGAATAAAAGCGGAATCTTTCAGTAGAGCGTTTGTTTACCGCCACATGCAGTATCACACTTCAACACACAGACAAAGGTCAACTATCTAAACGACCCAACTCCTTTAGCTCATGAGCTTATTGACACACATAGAAACACTTACTTACAAGCAATGTATACAGGCAACAAGACACAAAACTCGTCAGCTTATTAATTTTCCTTTGCCTCAGTTAAATGTGCGATCATTTTCTTATAAAAATAATGCTCTTTGTTTGCTAATAGTCAATGGAAATGGCTCGTTTGAGCAAGTCTTTAGGTGTATTTGATCGTTGAGCTCAAGAGGAAAGGTATTAGTGGATTCAAAAGCCCTCAAGGTAATATTATCATAATCTGTTGTGTTATCTTTAGTAGAATGCTCTTGGYAAGGCCTTTTATATATAGACTTTGTCTGCTTATTTTGGGATATGACTCGATGTTCTTCAGTACAGCAATATCATGACGAAACACATTGTACAATATCGTACTGTATAAGTACATTTTTCAGTTCAAACAAACTGGCGATTATTTTTTTATAGAATTTATTCAATGCAGTAAAATTAGTTTTCCTCTTACGACTTGAAAGGTGATTGGAAGGAAGCTTTTTGTTCAGGGGATAAATCCATCAAATTTTACAAAATTTCATTGATTGAGCTTGCTCTTTTTACATGGCATTCATAACTAAAATGCCTTAATTGTGTATTTGACGTGATGTTCCATTTTAATTCATGACACTACCGAATCGCAATATAACCATCACATTAAACTATTAAATCAAGGATCGTTTCTCCAAAACYCTGTCATACAAATCGATCAAAGTCACACCCATTCTATCTAATACATTTATTTTATTGTTCATTCGATAGGGTCATGTTCCCGTTTTCTRTTTGACATTTTTAAAGTGGACAAATGAAYGCACTAAAAKGAAAGGWCTTCAATCAAAGAGCTGTGTACATATCGTAAGATGTACATGCAAGATCAGATCAGAACCAACATATGGAACCAATTCCCTGATKTTCCGGCAATGAAACTGTCCGATATAGACATTTAAGGCCGTGATGGCGGCATTGCCTTTGTTAACCAACACCCAATCACTGACATGAGAAGTCTGAGAAAGGCTAAGCATCAATGGGACCACAAAGACTTTTCCAGCCTCTCCCGTCCTGCGTATTTGCAGCAATAAAGACAGCAAGGCAAAATCTAAAGTGTGTCTTTGATGTGGTTCAAGCGTCAACTTTAGAGTTGCTTTATATTGATAGAATAAAGAAATAATGAGTGATAATCGTCATTATGATCATGCCGCTATGATCTGTACAGGCTGCGGCAAAGACCCGAAGAAAGAGCGATATGCCATCTTGTAAACAATAAGAGAATGATGCCTATAGGACAGCTGTGAACGCGCGCTAGGTCTTCTCAACTTCGGCATTGTTTCTTTTGTGAATTAGCAATGTACGAGGTTTGTCCATAGCGAATAATAGTCATCCAGCGGGCACTTGGAGAAACGCTGTTTCCGTAATAAGATTGACAGAGCGGCTCGTCTGTGCGGAGTATCAATTTCAGATCAAATTTGCTCGTTTCACAGCGCGATGAGTAAACCATGATGGCTTGGAAAGAACTCGTGAGGACTTGAGCTTTTGAACTAAAAATACCATTTGATAATTGTGTGTGACCGTCGCGTGGAGATGATGTATTCGACTAGTTATCCGTACAACGGCACCATATTTCAGCCACCACCGTCAAGGGCAACAACACAAATCTACAGTCCGTGTTCCTACCCGTCAAGGTTCCCTTCTAGTCCATCCAACTCCTCTTTCCCTTACACAGGACCAACCAGCAACGACTATCCACCGCCATTATCACATCCGAACGACCCAACGCGTGGCTTCTACTCCACACCACACAGGGAAGATATCTCGTACTTCAGAAGTGAACAAGGWGCCCCTCATAACCAAGAATTTCTTCCCAATCAACCAAATCAACAGTGTCGCTTTTCAAATAACACTTACGAGGCTTACAACGAAAGTTGCGATGAAGGTACAGCGTGAGTTTTTCGTTTTATCGTAATGTACTTCTTTCTTTGACAGGATTGTATGACATTGTTCTTTGTCAAGAATAACAACAATTCGTACATTGCTGTAACTTCAATACTACACTTGACCTCAATTTCAAGGGTTTTTAGGGTTTTTTAATGTATAAACTCATAAAAAAGCTTTTTAATAGGATGATATGTTATGTAGTACAGTTATATTGGTTATAGGACTTCAATCCAAAATACTGTTGACATGTATGAGCTCCTAAATCTTCCTCTAAGGGTTCTTTCCAACAGTAACTTTCATCAGCTTGAACTGTGAACGACACAAAGCAAAAGGAGTCGAAACATCCCTCAATAGTTTTGCCGACAGTTTGAAATTTAGCGGTTTGCCGCAATTCTTTAGCAATCAGATGTTATAGAAAGATGGGGTTGGAAAGCATAAAGSGATCAGTCAGAAGTGAGTCACTTGGACTGGACAACGAGATTGCATGCAACAACTAATGACATATCTAAAAGACTAAGCAAAACAGTGATTTAATTATTCCTTTGAGACTGCTAGTATAACTTGTTTCTCTTTGCTCAGCAGTAGATCAGATCTAAACATTCTAAAGTTTCAAAGAGATCAGAGCTGAAAGATCAGAGCTAAACATAAAATTGAGGCTGATATAGTTTTTTTCCCTTAAATAATTACATAAGAAATTAAGCAATYCAACTTCCCTTATCTTTCAAAGCAAAGTATATCGTTAAGAGATAAATATTCTTATATTAAAACTGTACGCAAGTTTACCAAGTAGGCACTTCATTTCAGCAAAGTAGATTCTGTTGACAGACTGGCTATACCAGTAAAATGGCCGCGCTTGTATTTTACTAAAAACTGCTTAAGATGCGAGCACTTTACGAGAGCACTTTTTGGAAGACGGAGAACCCTTGTWATTCAACATATCTATAGTGTCAATCAACAAAAAACATTTGCTCTTTGTATTGCTTTGGAAAGCACAAACACAAACTACATGAAGTTAGTAAGGAGATTTTCCGCGAAGTATACATGCTGGACTTTCGGTCATAGTTAAACATGTTGGTCTGAATATTGCGTTTTTTTTTTGTCCTGTTACTGTTTTATCGGAAAATACTGAGSTGCCAATTGCTTTTTTTCATTTTTAAGAACACAAAGCAGACGAGTAATTTATTGAAGAAGAAACAGCGAGTGTGTGGAGTTTGTCGTCAAAGTGTTTCTTCCTTAGTACATAATTGATTCCAATGGTAACTTCTTAGTATATTTTAAAAATAGCTTGTTATCAGTTGCCATTATAAAATACCGTGACAACTTTAGATCAAGTGCATTCAAGTAATTCAAATCCTTGTACGACTACATTCTGGTCTTTCATGTTCTAAACTTTGAGAAAACAACACTCCAAAAAGCCATTCTTAAAAACTAACTATCTTTGAGGAAGGTAAAACCGTAGCTTCGCTTTGAAAAAAGTTAGTATCTAAATTAATATCTAAATTATGGAATAACTATGGTATTTCAAAGAGATAAGTTGYTTTGCCTCAAAGGGGTTGCTCGTCAAGATATCGGTACTCACATACGCGCGAAAAAAAACATGTCAAGTTTGGAGTTTTATTTTAAATTCTATACCTATTCACCTGCTATTTTTTTTGTCAGTACCCCTGATTTAACAATGCATCCTTTTGATGTATTTTACAACTCTCCGACAGTCGTTGTTTTTGAAGTCAATCTTTCCAAGATCTCCAGCAAAAGTGCTGATTGTCGGTACATCAGAAAATGCCGCACTTTCCAGTGTTGGGTGAAAATTTTTAGTGAATGCTCCGACCAAAGTCTTCCCCGCCGACTTTCTAAAGCAGTAAGCGAACTCTCATAATTTGGCCACCATGACCAAAGGGACAATAGTTTTTGCGGTTAATTGCGGTGATAGTCAAAGGGAAACGCAACTCGACAATCTTTGACAAGAAACTCGCAGTAATTAACGAAGTCATATCAAATCGTTGACCGCCKTGGGAGAGTGGTTGCTACTTTGGCTTAACATCCCGCCGAAATCTCCAAAACCATTTGATAGATAGATTTAATTTCTTGTTATGTATTGAGTGTGAAACTAAGAGGTGTGTTATTAAAAGAGAGAATGATCGTCGAAAATGAGATAAATAGCTTGAAAATCTTGATTAATGATTGTCTCGTCAAGTACTGGTGTCAAGTGTTCATTAGGAACTGCTGTATAAACTGCTGTGAAGCTTGCACTGTTGTTTACGACGTAGCTTACGATTGACTCTTTTCTGACATTGCTCTACCTTGTTTGCACATGAGTTAACGATAGAGGAGGGCCTGCATTAGCTCTACTTTGCACATCGTCTTGCAGAACCGCGTTCACCATTTTTTGTTCCCGAGCGAGCAAACCATTTCCACACTAGGAATACTATAAAAGACTCTGTGTAGAGAAATCATAAAAACGAATTTGTCTRAGTACCATTCACAACTTTGCGAACAAAGTTTGGTGATCAAACCACAAACTGACCATGGGTTCATGCATCATTGTTAGTATACATGTTACCAAAATAACATCACTAAGTCTCATTTAATTAATTCCTATCTTATGAACTCGTCTTGAAACTTAAACACAAATGGTTGAATTTCATGTTTTACTCCAGCAAAAATATATACAAGTTTTTTCAGATAAGCCAGCATTAACATGAAATACAAAACTTTGCAAMGACATCGATCCGAAACACTGGAGCCGAAATTACACGGTGTCTACGCCGATAAAGTGATTAATACAGTTCTTGCTGCAGAACTGAAAAGGATAATTCAAACAATTTATATATGTAAAGAGGAGTTTAGTCGAATAAACTAACTTATTTCTCTTTTTAGGTTCCAAATCTCCACCTGATGAATGTGAAATGTTTGGGAAAACAGGCAAGAAACGCAAAGAAAGAACAGCTTTTTCCAAACATCAACTTCAAGAACTTGAAACCGAATTCATAAGAAACAACTATTTAACTCGGCTTCGTCGATATGAAATCGCCATTAGTTTAGACCTAACAGAAAGGCAGGTCAAAGTGTGGTTTCAGAATCGTAGAATGAAGTGGAAGCGAGTTAAGGGTGGAAAGCGGCCAGAAAAAGGAAACTCAAATTTGAGTGAAGAAACGGCTGAAGAAGCAGGAGAATAACTATCAACACACACAACCCATTCATTCTAATATGTTGCTGTACAAAATCTATATAAATGTTATATTTCATTTCATTATTTGCGTCAAAATCTTGACAAAAAACTTCTGTCCGATTTGTCAACTCTTGAGCTACGAGGTCTGAGAAGTTCGGATCAAGAAATTACTGGATACTAGCTCTCGAAGCCGATGAAAACTTCCGAGTTGCTGCGAAACTGAAGATACAGATAGTTTTSTTCTCGATTGAGTTAGTATACAACCAAATTCTAAGCACTGTTGATACTGCAGACTAAGGAAAAGAGTCAATAGTTTATCAAGGTATTAGAACCAAGATCCATATTTAAGGTTATTAGCGGTATAAATAGCTAAGCAAAATACTGAATAAACCATGTATAATAGTTGAACTGGTTATTATTATTGTAAAAACTGAAAAATAAAACCAAACACGCTATATTAATCATTTTGTCTTTGTCCCACGGAAGTTCTACAATGCAATGTACAAGAGCACCACTCAGTCATTTATGGTTCAAACTAGACCTCTTTGTCACATTGCTGCTGAGACGTTTGTGGTAATGGTTTTGCACTAAACGTTCTGTAGTACTGTAACACTTGTTTAAAACTATGGAAGCTTTATTGTCGATAAAACTTCTGCTTTCTGCCCACATTGAGGTGTGTCGGTTCGTCAAGGAAGGGCGCGCATGTTTGATGGATTGTTGATAGTATTTTGCATAATCATTTCCAGTGTAACATGATAAATAGAAAACATTAAGAAAACTTCTTTAAAATAGTAATGGATTCCATGTATACGACGTCTAAAAAAGTCAAACAGACCAACTTCCCCTATTACAAAAATGCAATTAAAAATTAAAAGAATTTTAATGATCTACTTGTTTTTTCCTACAATTGTGCGATGAGCAGTCGATAAACCGAAAAAGACTTTGTTGTAAGTTGATGGCAAAACTCTTAGTTTTAGCTCGCTTGGCTTTCAGGCCAATCTGAGAAACTGCAATCGAATAAGAGATACAGACACAAAAGGCATTATAACAGTAGCACTATAGCCAAAGTATCTTGATTCATAGAAACGAAAACTATACTCTCATCACTGTTTCAGTATATTCAACAACAGCAACAACKAAATTGTTATTTATAGAATAAAATTACTATATCCGTGAAACTAAAATGGTACGAAACTGTGTAATAAATAATGCAAATTCCTTATTTTCCAATAGAGTGAAGTCAAACCCGTGAAACAAAACCCCTTGACTCGTTAAAGCGTCATAGTCAATAAAAACAAAGAAAACAATACGATGAGATAAGAGCATACTAATGTTTATGAGTGCAACATCTATTTCACAGTCTTTTTATTTCACGCTAATATCTATTTCACGGGTTTTGTGACTTCACTCTACCAAGTATAACTAGTCTCTATCAGTACTATTAACGTTCGTCTACTATAACTAGTCTCTATCAGTACTATTAACATTCGTCTACTATAACTAGTCTCTATCAGTACTATTAACATTCATCTACTATAACAATGAGGTAGCTTTACACAAAGCGCTGTCGGACATTATAAAGTGTATTATGGTCTAGCAGACAACATGTGCCTTCTTCCATATATGGTATGGTGAAAACATATAAGAAAAGCTTACCAGAATGCAACAGGTTTGTCATTTACTAGAAAAGACATCTACAAAAGATAAAAGACCAAACTATATCCAGTGTTAATCGCACAAATCTCGGTTTTTGTCCAGCCCATTTCCAATCGTTCTCTCGCCTAATCATATCGAGGAATTACGACTCGACGCATACATTTTATATCTCCCATGGCATCGTTTATTCGTCGTCTGTACATCGGATAAAYCTCGGCCGTTGTTCGGCCATTTATCGGCTTATTGTCGGATTAATTTCGGTTAAGCACTGCATAGCACGTAAATGGCTACTTCTACTAAAACGAGAGGAAAAAATGAAAGGAAAAATAAAAAAGGAACTGTTAAGATTGTTTTGAAAACGATTTTTCACAACTTTTCATCTCTTTACTTCTAGTACAACTACAACCTCTTTAGGGTTAGAGTCCCTAAAAGTATAAACACATCGATGGCAGAAGAAAGTCATATTGTGTCTCCATAAGGCTTACAACGTTACATCATGACAAGTCGATGCTGTTTCCTTCAYGACCATTGCCGCCATTTTRGATTTCACTGAGAGAATTTGTCCGTCGAAAGGACAAGTTGYTCTTGAAATGCAATCCTCTTGACGGAGTTTAAAGTGTTCCTATTCTGAAATCCATGAGTGAGTATATTTGACTTAAGAAATAAGGTTATTCTAGTACCCAACCATAGTGTAAAACAATAGATCTAGATTAGATGTAAAAATTTACATGCATAAATTAATTAAAAGATTAATTAATCGATTAATTAATTCCACTTTTCAATTTGCCTGACGGATTATATCTGTCCATATCTGTCCGTCAGATCATATGAATTTCTCCCGGAAGTTTTCTGTTTGAAAAACCTTGCGTGAAAACATCTCCGAGTTTCTTATAATACCTCATCTTGTCGTCCTGATTTCTCCACGTTTTCCTCTACAGGGGCCTCTGGCGGTATAAGACTTGACTCATGGTTTTGTTGAACCAGCACTACGAGATTATGAAGATTATAMAAGTTTGCATCCGTTGTATTTAGCACTCCCTGGGGCCTTGATGTAACACACAGCTTGGTYCTCGTCTGATATGCTTATGTCACATCCACGTTATAACATGGAATAAAAAGCACTAGCTATTGAATAATATATAATATACGAGATCAATTTGCCATCCAGTTATATGCACGTGACCACGCACATTAATGGACAATATTCTGGATATCTGAGATAATTCTGAGCAAATGTTTTTGTAAAAGCGGTAACTTGGAGMGCTTCCTAGTCCCATTGTGTCCAACATCAGGCGTCTTGAGCTGGTTGACTCATAACGAGCAAACCATCCATCTGCGTGGTTATTACAATGCAATAAAAAAGACATAAGGAAACGATTGGCTGTTTTTAACGCGATTTTAATGCCGTCGCAACCGTCATACCAATTCGACGTGGATCATCGAGAAGCTTGTCGGTTAATGTTGATCTTGCAATTTAAAATCTCTCCCTTAGAGGGTTCTTTATCGATCTCAGTGCTGCTCTAGGCTTGGTTTTCCCAACCTTGTATTGAGTGTGAATACAATGCCTGCTATTGCCGGTCTATTTACAGAAAAAACAACTATTCACGTTCGCGGCATACTCTCCTTTTAAGCGATAGTCAAGGGAATGGTTTCTTTGCGAGGTCAATGTTTTGCAGATGGAACGAAACGGCAAAACATACGCTGGTTCCAGTTCTGCCATCATGTACTGACTAATTATTATGAATGAATGCGTAAGGCGTAAGTAGAACTCCACTAATTTGTTTAGCACATGATGGTTGTCGGTAACCTCAAAGCTAGTGTTTATCACAAATCCATAGGTTTGAGGCCTATTTGTTTTTCGTGTGCTGGTAAGCTCTCATAATTAATCCATGTCTGGCAATATATATTGTAATATAACCGATTATATTGGTAAACCGAGTGTTTTTACATGCTCTTTTACGAAAAGCATAGCGCAAATACCAAGTAAAAAAATGGTTGGGAATTCACTTAAATGACCAAGTGGCAGGATAGGTCTCTCTGTGAAAGTTCCCCATGTATCGCTTAACATTCGAAACCCGCAAATCATATCAGTTACACCACATGACATTTACAGAAATAGAGGACGGTGTACCAAACGGCAACGCACCAACAAACGATTTGGACATATATATATAATATATAAAAAACGCTAAATCACGAGAAGGAAAATAATACCATGTATACTCGTGGTTATGGATTTCCAAACCAGAGTTATAATCAATATGGACCGAGTCCATATCCAGTACCGTCACAGAATCAGCCATCTCATCGATACAGACCCTATATCTATAGTTCACAAGCAAGGTACGGCTTTAACACATTCCCGCCTAATTCTGCTTCTTCTTATAATCACATCCCRCCACTTTCCTACCCGCCGGAGGAACGGGGGATAGTAGAAGTTACAGGCTGTGAACAACCAATGCATCGGCAAGTACATCAGCCGGCTCCAATTCGTTCGCCACAACTTCAGCCTTCACCGCCGCCAAGAGGCTTTGTTCCTTCGTGTATTGTGCACGGCTCAAGAGCCGAGGAAATGGATGTTAACTCTCGTGAGCCTAGTGAGAAGTTAGCGGACAATTGCGATGAAGGTAAACAGTTTGCTAGTGGTTGTAAATGAACTCATCATAAAATGAATTTAGGGATTAGTTGGTTAAACGCAATTCTCGTGTCATTATACTGCGCTTAATAAGGTATTACAATTCCATTGCGCATTCATTCAGTTATTCATAAACCAGACATTAAAGCACGCGGCAAAYGATCGTCTGGTTTGTCTTTATTCATAAGATTGAGACTTTTCTTGTCTTGAAAGCCACAACAATCTATTTCAGACGTATATCTTGGAGAATCTTGTGGTAAAAGCTTAGTCATGATATCGGTGATTGCTATAAAGTGATCGCTTTTGGTGATAGTGGTCTACTGAAGACTGATCTTCACCTAATCCCTCAGTTAAGATTGATATCATCTATTTTTATATTTTGAGAGGATAAAAATGAATTGGTACATGTTTTGGTGATGCACACTTATCATGACGTTGAAAATATCTTCATTCTCAGCATCAGTACAGCTTTGACAGAGAAATGATTCCCAGAAACGCCCACCATAAAATCTTGGAAACAACTAGCTATCCATACAGAATTTCATACAGATACTTAGTTACAAGTTAAGCAAATGGTTAATTATGAAACCAAAGACAAAGTTAAGATTAAAGCAACGAAAATGGAGGCACTTTCAACTGAGACACAGAAAAACTTGAGATTCAGGTTCAGAAAGCGCGAAAACACAAGAATAGAGTTTCGAATGGTCGGAATCCTTTAATGAACACTTTTCAAAGTAGGATGATTTGAAGAATGTAGATTTCTTAAGATAGACATCCGTCTGTTATGGATCGAGAAATAAAAAAAGAGAAAGCTCACGAGGTCTCATCCTAATGAGGTCTTTTCGCAGTACCAACGCCAAAATCGTGCAGAGAGAAGGGACCGCCTCGGTCCAGATGTTTTAATGTAGGGTAAGATAGTTTTAAGCATAAAAACGTTCACACTTGTGATCAGAAAAACTAAAGAGATTTTGACACAATTCATTGTTGAAAACAGCATTAAAATACTTTTCTATATCCATTTGCGTTTGCTATGACATGAACACAGAAACATCAAAAATACAGCTTTCGTTAGTCTCTCAACTATTGTTGATTTTATAATGTGTAAGTTACGGAATACAAAACTGCATTGGCGAAGTGCGGCAAAGTTTGGTCTACGCAAGTTTACTCTCAAACGTCTGAGCGATTTTTCAATGAATACAATTTTAGTATGGTATGTAATCCCATGATTTGGATGGTGATATATAACATACCCTTTTGAAAAAAAAAGCATGGATAACATTACTAGTCACTTAACAAAAGTGATGTATTCAATTTAAGTTATCGGGAATACAGCGTTCAAGTTTACTATTTTCATTGAGTATGAAAAACGCCCTTTTTTACATACGACAAGTATCAGTTTTATAACGAAATCACGGCATATTCTTTTAACTACCTAAAGTAGTTCCTCCATCGGCCCATAAAAATCACGTAATTTCTGTCCAATCAGTAAGGCAAAAAATAAAGTTTCTATAAAAGTTCTTTGTTTAAACGTTAGATATTTGGCTGTCGGACTTAACGATGAAAAATCATATACAAGTTGACAATGGCTACCCAGTTATCAGGATCGTCAAAGCAGGGGACATCGAAACATGGTGTATTGTTGATTTAGCTTTCAGCAGAAACACTTCAACATTCACTTTGAAAATTTGTTGACTTAAATAACATCATTTGGATACGAATCAGTCGTGACAAACTTGATGACTTTTCCAGTTTGTTTTTACAAGGATTATGTATTTCACCCTAGTGCAATCGACGGGGAGTGTCGAAAGAAGCTTTCAATGGAAACGGTCGATAACCATGTAATATGCTCCGTTTTCGTTTAAAAACAATAGAACGCTTTATGTAATGAAGGATATTAATTTCCAATTTTTCTAACTTAGAGGCAATGCTTAATTCAAAGTATTTTTAGTAGCAAACAACCACATTAAATCACATTAAACGGCTAATGGAGTTTATCAATGTATTCAAAAAGCGAAAAAATGACATTTGGGGGCCATAAGCCCACGGCCCCATAATCTACATAGTCCTGAGGTATACGCTTAAGACGCCGGCGGGTTGGCTCGGAACTTTGGCTACCAAAACACTGGGGGTCAGGCTCCTACCTAACTATGTATTGTCCACTTTCGATAGAAACGGCCACATCTTAGTATTATTGTAAATGAACAATTTGGACAAAACCAAATACACAATAGAATCAAATCTATGAATTGAATTCTTGCGAAACCTATTAAGCTGAATTTGATAAGGTAGCAAAACTTGAAATAACATACAAAGAACGCGGAAAAGAATTCCATGAAAATACCATGATCGTTCCAACATTGTCATGCTGTTCCCCGAAAGCTTCAAAAATTTACAAAAAAAGATATTTCGATGATAAATCGCTCAATGTATGGTTATTATAAACATTATATTTTATCATTATAAATTAATTATACTGTTGACCAAATAAGGTAGGTCTACATGGTCGGCTATTGTTACCGACTTTTGAGCCACAATTGATTGTTTACTACTAATAGTGATAAATACTGATAAATACTTATCCGCATACGAGCTTATTTGTCATGTATTAACATCAAACTTTGCCCGGCAAGTCAACCTTTTTTTCATCTTCGAATCAAATAATTTCAGTTTGACAAAACTTATTGTGTAAAAGCATCTGAGAATCTCTTTACAGTGCATGGTATCGAGGTGAGGTGAGATGTATTGACCATATGTAGCGATAGCTAGTAGTCGGTCTCTTTCATATAGCGCTGGCTAGACAAAGGTTCCTTCCTGGATAAGAATGATCATAACTACACGAAGAAGGGCTATAGAAAACACGAGTTGTGTTAATTATAGAGTGTGAGCCGTTGCTATTTTAAAAGCTGAATAAAGCGCTGTGGTTAAGGTTGATTTACACTACGACATAAGGGTAAGCTTTGAAAAGAGAATAGTTTCAAAAAAAGAATAGCTTCAGGGATTAAATAGGGCATTGAGATCACAAAACGAAGTTGATTTTCTTGTTMATTCTTTTATCTTTCATAAGTTTATGCTTATGCTAATTGCTATGTTTATGTCGATGTCTTATGTTGCACGGAAAAGACGAAGGCTTCGTCTTCTTCGTCTTTTGTTGGCGACATAAGCTTCAGCTCACCATGTCGTAGCGTGAATTAACTCTAACACAAACAAAAGTAATGCGCAAAACAACCTAAAATCTATCCAYATACTTTCGAAACAGTAAAAATCTGTAGAGAAACATGTTAAAATAGAAACATCTTAAAATGTTGTGYTTTGTATGGAATCACTTCACAAAAAGATGGTAATTATTCTATTGCTTTACACACAGGAGAAGACGACGTTGAGGAATTCGAAGCGGACGATAAACCGAAGGGAAAGAAAAGAAAAGAGCGAACAGCTTTTACTACACATCAGCTAAGGGAACTAGAAAATGAATTTACTCGAAATAACTACTTGACGCGTCTACGTCGTTACGAGATCGCCGTTAGTTTGGACTTAACTGAAAGACAAGTCAAAGTGTGGTTTCAGAATCGTAGAATGAAGTGGAARCGAGTCAAAGGAGAGAARAAACCKGAGAAAAAATCCATGTACTTACTTCATCTCGAGCAAGAAAAAAGTAAAGAGGCCAGCAACGATTCTTAAATCTTGTAATATATGTATATTGAAATTGGTGTAAATATATCTACAATATTAATGTTCGCACGAGTCAATTGGCGATGACAAACTCATCATAATTTTTGCTGAAGTAGATATATGGATTTGTAAAATAAACAAATTCAACAAAAATTTTTAGAACTTGAACAAAACAAGTAAAAATAATAATAATAATAAAGGTATTATATAAGTTATCTTCGATTGTCTCTTTTTCTATGCACGATAAAACGTTTTGTACGAAGTTGAATTCGGTCGCCATTTTGAAAGTATAAATTATGGGATGTCTAACAGGCAAAAAGCACTAGAGTAAAATACCGAGAAAAGATAATTTATCTGATAAATTTTTTCACAATATAAGAATCATTATTTCCAAGACATAACCCTGGGTACCGGCGCTTGGAATTTACTTTTTCTTATAGTTTGTTTTGACCTTTCTGGCGGCATTACGGCCTCAAATTCAACGCCGCTTGGCGCCGTTAATAGAGTACCAATGGGAAATTCCAACCTCTGACATTCATTGTATCAAAATCTTGAATCTCACGTCATTCTAAGAGCCRTACGGTCTATAAATTTCTTGTTTACTGTGGCGCCTGGGCATCCCRTAATTTCTTACGAATTGATCGTGAAAACAATGGCATTCAAAATGGCGWCCGTTTGGTATATCGGTCACGTGATCTTATCAATGTTCACCARAGGAGGGTTTTCGGATTCATACTTCATGGAGGAATACAGACAGTTATCGTGCGGCTAGATATACGTGTAGTGTTAGTTTTATTCCATCTTTTCGTGTTAGTTTTAGGGTTTTGTTTAGGGTTAGGTTTATGTAAGGTTTAAGGGTTAGGTTTTGTTTATTATCCACCGTGATGTACAGGACTTTTTTTCGACTTTACACCCAAAATAAAGTAAAATAAAGAGTATTYGGGAGATGATGGACACACGCAATATATGCGGAGGTTTACGCACGTATGAGTGAGTTCAACAAAAACAACACAATTGGAAGTTGTTGCTCAATATTGTACAGTCACATCTTTATTCTTTACKTTTCTAGAACTTTTAGTCGTTTTTAAATAGTATTGAATAATAGTGCAATTATATCTATATTACTAGCACTGAATCATAAACATTTTGATATCCAGTATATCACTTATGAATTTTCAATGACTATATTTGGYATCATCAATCACGTGATGGTGTCGTTGGAGTCACGTGACTGGTGATTTTTAAATTAGTGGTTTATATTATGGTACATTGGTTGTTTATCACGCAGGTCTTTGCGTTAGTAGTCGTCTTGGAATATTCGCTTTAGGTATGAACTCACATCTTCACTTGCTGTTTGTTCACGTGATCTAAACAACAAATCAATTAATTTTAATYATCACTAAAAATATTAGCAATTCATTGTGTAAGCATTATAAATGTTTTTTTTAGGATTTCTTTATATCACTATATTGCTTCTTATATTTTAATCGATTTAATGTTGACTCTATCATAAACACCAATGATTCATTCATTCATTCATTCGTAATTCAAGGATATGACCTGAGATGTGTATCAAACATCTTCGTATTCTCGCTTGCAAATTCRACATGTTTGCCAATAACCGGAGTAATAATCATTTCACTTCAACTGTTTGAACACCCTCAAGGTAGCATGTCATTGACCAAATATAGTAATCCCTTTTTACCGAATTCTTTGATACCAATAATTCATTCTTTATTTATTTGAAGTCGATTTTGGATGGATAGTATATTATTCYAGATTGAATCATAATTTTTGGATTAAATAATTTTCCACACAAAATCATAAAAATAACGTTTTGTATTTAATAGTATGGCTTAACAGCAGACGTTACATGGGTGAAAGCATCCTTACTTGAGATCGCGTGTACTTTGATATCGTCAGACWTGAATAAACTACAATATCTCAGAATATCTGATAAAGTGGATGGCGAGAAATGAGATCTTGAATCTAGGGTTTCACACCCACGTCGTCATTGTTATATATATCCAGTAATATATAGTTATTAGCTATTCGAAGAAACTTTGATTGATATTTTCTTTGTCAAAAATATGCTTTTGAAGTGCATTTTAAASTATTCGCTGACCGTTCCATGATCCCTAGTTACAATASTTCATTAATTATCGAAAGGAGCCCCTCTTGCGCAACTTATAACAGTTATAGWAAAAAGACGGATAACCACAGGGAGTCCGATCATTTGGAAATAGATACATCGATTTYAAGTCTTATTTGTATAATAAAATGTAATATTTCAAGGCTTCATGCGTTCTATCCCTTCGCCTACTAATACTTTGCATACGCAAATTGCCCACAAGACAAACAAAAATCAAAGTTTAGATAATACTTATAAACTATAAAGATGTATCTATCAATGTTATAAACCATGACAATCTACGAAACCTTGAATGAAAAACATCGTCATTATGCAGCACGTTTCTCTTTTCAACTATTTTTAATGATAAACTTTTAAACTAAAAATACGATAAAGTGCTAAACAAATAATGCTAAACAATGCAATACAGTGTAGACAATAGAAGACAACGGATTTCGCATAATTCACTACAATTCAGCACTATTTRAGTACTAAAGTTTTTTAAGGTTTTAGTGTTTGCTTTCTATATTACCAAAATGCACGAAGCACTTTTAGATAAACTTATAAATCACAAAGAATTAAAAAAAGCAAGATAAAACGAAAACTGACAGACACTTCATGAAGGGACTCACCTTTCTTTCGAATTGTCTGCCAGATCCATCACTACCTTGTTTCGTACTTGATTTCTTTTACAAATTCTCGCAAAGCGTCGACTTCCAAAACTACAGGCATCATAAGAGGAACTGGTCGTACTTGCAATCAGAAATGACGATAATACCATTAAAACAAATATTGCCAAAAACGTTTGTCTTTCCATGTCCAAAATTATCTGTACACCTGAATGGGGAGTTCTGAAACGAGATAAACACATTTGTATCTGGTTATGTTTTTTTTGCTATGAAGGTATAACACCCAGTTTTACGATAGAAGTAATTAAATTAGCGCTAGAGAGCTTCTAGTCTTTGCCTCAAGGGATCTCATGGTATATTTACCGTGTCTTCCAACTTCACTCACATTAATTCATTCATAAGAACGCAGACTATCTGAGCAAGTCGAGGATCTTATTCTCCTAAAATCATCTTCTACATTCATTCTCCATGCATAGGCTGCCTGAGGGTTTTTCGAAACTGTAAAAAGACTCAGGCATCCTACTAACAATCATCAAGTTATCACATCGCTTTAGATTATTTATCAAGTACATCAGCAATAACCTCAAAATTGAGTAAATAATCATCTAAATTCGTGCTAAAACTTGATAACATCTAGCGTCTTCATGAATTTTGTATTTGATACATTATTTAAGATAACTATTTGATTTCTATCGGTCGTTGTTGGGGGAGGAATCGCTTCAAAAAGCTACCAAACAGATCTTCAGATATGAACCTTTGACAAGTTTTTTTTTTAAACTCAAAATCTAAAAGTAACAGTTTACTTTCAAAGCTTCATGTGATTATGTGTGTGTTTCTAAAAGAACGGAGATAAAGTAAATGATATCAGTGATAACAACCAATGATTGTACGCTAAAGGTATTTAGTTTTCTAACAAAACGAACGTGTAGAAGTCGTGAGCGAAGCCATATTAAAACCTTCTCTTTTTTGATTGGTTGAATATGTATTTAATACGAATTATTCGTGAGCGCTGTATGGTTGATTAATCTAAGTATGTTTGATCCTAGAGAGTTTATTTCGCATTATATAGACGATTTCCAAGTTAAAAATACACGGTTACGTTATTTAAGAGCACTTAAGCACACGATTCTACAAATCTTGATTTATTATAAGACTATCATAAATTTCTATCCGTTTTTACACAAACAACAAAACTATTTTTGTCTGGGAAAAAAATCGCCATGCCTGGGTAGGGGTGGGGTGGAGGTAAAAAAACTGTCGGGGGTACTGTCCGTGTTCGTTACGTTTTCGTATCCGCAGCAAACTTCATTTCTGGCGCAAAAACGAGTGTTTGTGCTTACGTCGTGTAGTGAAAACCAGGCTTTCTGCTTGTGATTACGATTATGACGATCTCCATATTCTTGACTGTAGTCCTTAGTAATTCTCAAAAATCACCAATTTGTATTTTGTTTTAATCAAACTACATAAGCTCTGACAACTTTGGTTTTATTCTACAGAAGGAATTAAAAAAGTACTCAGTTTACTGTCGTAAAAGAGAACGATTTCAATAGGCACCGAAATTAAACACCAATATTACATTTGACGAATTAATATTTAAGCCGGATTTCGACAATCATTTCGACTCCACAACGTATATGTACTTTGCGCATAATTGATTGTGTTAGTTATTTATATAGGTTCTTATAAGCGGGCTTATATTCTTAATTGATACACGAAATAGACGACAATATGGAAAGGTCTTTTCTCCWGCTGATTGGCGGRTCTCATACTGGCCACAATAATTAACTCCCTCGGCCGTTCTTAATGCCGTGCAAACATCATAACGCTAGCTATTCACTTTAATTACAAACCAGCGGCAACCAAACACTTTGAGTATTAGCGAGACTTTTCTAATTCTCTAGAAGTGGTCATATTTTATCTTGAACGCAGTACTACCCCTAAGGGAACCTTAGATATATAGTTACAGTAAAAGCTCCTTCACTACAAAGCTAGTAATTGGACAAAGTGATGAATTCAAAACAAGGGACAAAACTATGGAGCACTCTGTAGGATGTTGTTAAGCTAAAGTCGACAGGCTAAAGACCTTGAAACCGTTACGACGGGATTGTCCCTATTATCCTAGAGCTAAGATATTAAAAAGAAGTGAAGATCCTTTTCCACACCTTAAACAATACGGGATAAGATTTTGAACACTTTTCTTTAATGACTTTTTCTTGTAATTAGACACTGGCATGGCACATACTGTGAGGCAAATTATAAAATCCTTTTTTCTTGTCAACATTATTTTCAGTCAATTTGTCTTTTCTAAAGTTGGATTAATGTCTCGAATAAACATTCCAAACCGCACCTATTCTTAGGAATCTTGTGCTAACGAGGAAAAAAAAGGGTGGAAAGTCAAACAAGCAAAAACTGTTATCGCGTGTCCGTAAGAGCAATTTTCCTTTTGTCTGGAGTGAGGGCTAAAGTAATAATTAGACTATACTTTAGAGAGAGAGAGAGAGAGTGAAAGAGAAATTCTAGAAACGGTATATAAGGTAAGCGTCGTATGACGACAACAAATAAAACATAAACAGCAATTTAATGTGTCAATGAAATAATACACTTTTTATGACTTCTCCTTGTTCCTTGTATCTAAGGCCGACAAATTCGAGAGTTGGATGTTAAAATTTAGCTTCGCCGTTCCTCGTTTTTTTGGTGAGCTATGTTTTGTAGCGCGGCAAGTTGCTATTGGTTAGGAACGGTGCGAGAAATATCGAAGCTTGAAACAGAAAAAATGTTCCTTTAACATTGAAGACAACTAGTTGGCAATGAAATTATTTCAGTGAAATATAAGAAATAAAGAAGAAGGAAAATCAAATGCCAGTGTGTATGAGATGGGACGATATGGAGACGCAATAGCATGACGAGRATCGATTATTACTACAATAAAAACTCAAAAAATAATGAAGAGAGAAGAATATATCGAGCTACAATTCAGTATCATGCTGATGTATAGATGAAATAAAGAGGACGTTTTGTTGAACTTCACCTTTAAAAATGTTTTGAATCATATAGCCAGCCTACCCGTTTCAAGGCGTCGATTAGTACGCGCGTCTTAGCCGTAACAAACATTAAAGCATAGAAAAACAGCTCTAACGTAAATACAAGCTATGATAGATGTCTAAAAAGGTTCTGTCCAGATAGCGTATGGCGAACACAGCCTGCAGTACAAGAAGCACACACATATACGCGATCAAACCTGGATAGTTGTTACCTTAGTTCAGAGCAAGGTTCAGCGTCCAGTGTTTTCAAGTCTGACAAATATCGCCAGTTGGTATATAAAGGTGTTATAGTGTATCAAATAACAAAAGAAATCAACTTGTCAGTCAATTGTACGAATGCGTGGTCATACGATAAATGGCCACGAGATAATCGCAAAACCCAACGTCGCTCTAACGATGAAACGAAGCTGGAATGAGATAGGTCAGTCAATTACATCAAACCAAATTATATTAAGATTGTTGGTGTTTCTCATATGTTATTTCCTTAATAAATACTTTAAAAGATCACGTCGAAGTTGACAGATTAATTTTGCCTACAACACACACCTGCACTACTCGTGGATGGCTGCAGGAACAGGCTCTTATTTTGCCTATCATTTCATTCTATATCTTTAAAATGTCATAGATTGCAACAAAGATAAAGACAATTTCATGTGCTGCATTCRACAATAAACCGTACTTTGAGAGGAATTTTGAGAAGGTTAAATGTTTCTAGATTGACAACATCTTGAGCAGACTTGACTTCAACCGTTTTAAAATGGCTAAAATTCTGTATTTTTTAACAAGGATTCCCCTCCTACACACGTATCAAATTAGCCTAAAGGGAAAGATGGGAAGAATATCCAAAAATCTGGATAATCCGTTTTTTTATAGTTACATAATGACAATAAAACAGTGTCATACCAARAGAACTAAAAATTGCATTCAATGTCTATATTAATGACTTGGTCCAAGCCCCCTAAAAAGCCACTAGAAGTTGAAAACGCAAACGCGAATATTGCATGGAAATTTAAATGGTATCTATCTTTTTTTTTTTAAATTTCAAAACAAATTCAACGTAATATAGCGAAAAACGTATCATTTTAATAAAAAAGCCCTGACTCACAAAACCTATCAAATATGACTTTAAAAATAATCTAGTAGAATTTCTTATGTCAGTCTAAAGGTTTCATTCTTAAGATATTTGCTGACAAATGTTCTCTATGACTTTGTYTCTTTATTAGTCATTTCTGTCTCATTCTTTAATATCATGAGCTACATAAGGCATTCTCACGACAGCCTCACCAATATCATATATATCATTAGGTATCGTAAAAAAGAATTGATTATCAAGATCAAAATCAACGTCACTACTCTTCTGCTAAATATACAACAGTTTTGTTCAAAGAAAATGCCTGAAAACGCGGCCAAACTAAGTGCATGTCAGTAATCCCGTACCGATCTAAAAATACTTAAACATTAAGAAGCCTTAACCTGGTCTCCCAAACAAATAACAATCATCCGCTAATCCATTGTTAACAAGTTTATACATTATTCACGACAGATAGTTAATAAAAAATGGGTGTTCAATTCCTGCCCACCAGTTAGTACTAACCTTGAAGAAGAGCTGCTTATTGAAGGTTTTGTTTTCACAACGACGCCTTTGACTTAACTATTTTGACTACAATGGCTTATCAGGCCACCCAACTTTAACAGAGAGCTTAAATCAGCCAATCGTGAAGGCTAAAGCGCTGTCTATTCATTTCAAAATGTTCAAAATCCTGATTGGTGCCTAAAGGAAGGAACAGGGGCCCACGGACCAGCTGTAACATTCATTGATAAACAACACGAGGAAGGCCCTAGGCAATCCTCTTCGTAGCGATCCCTGAGCCGAGTGCTTTAATGGCACCAAACTTAATTCTGTTTTCTTAAAGTATGTTAAGTAGGTTTTCTAGCAAAAATTAAGATAAGTGAGAAGACACCATCTCCTTTGTTTATTTTCAGATCTTTCTCGTGCTTCTAAAAACACTAGTTTGTTTTTTATTAGTCACTCGTTCACCCTCGTTAGTTTTTTCTGGGGGTAGGGAAGAAGTGAAAGAATATCAACCCCAGGGTATAATGCAAGGATATGCGTTTTATCATTGTGCAGCAATTCGTTTATCTCTCATGGTGTCTATTTACTGGAKTGACATACCCCTTTCC